CGGCTCCATCTCGATGAGCATGCCCCACGCCGAGCGAAGGGTCTTGACGAGTCGTTTGAGCAGGTATTTGTGTCGTGTCGCGTGCTTCGCACGCGGGTTGACCATTGCGGCATCGCCGAGTTCTTCGTGCGGCTTGCCGTTTGGCGCCTTCTTGCCCGCCTCCACCGCCTGGCAGGCAACATCGAGCGGGAGGCCGAGGCGGCGCTGAACTGTAATGCGCATCGCCCACGTCTCCATCTTCATATCATCCCGCATGGGGATCGCATTCAGGAAGGCGCCAGCCCCCTCCTGGCTGACTGCGACGAACCGAATCGCCTCGCGCCAGCACTTGTGGTTCTTGCACCTGCCAGTCTTGTAGCGGCCGCCCCGCCGGGATGCCTCGCTGACGAAGGCTTCGGCGAGGGCGAGCCAGTTGCGATGGTGTACGCCGACGGTGTACCGCCGCTGCGCCTGCTGTAAGAACTCGCTGGTAGACGAGAACTCTGAAAGAGGCAGCAGCTCCGCCGCCGGCGTAAGCTTAAGACGTTTGCCGCCAGGCAGGGATCGAACTGCTCCGCAGCCATTGCCAGTCCAGGGGGGGGATGATTTGCCGACAGGGTTTTCCACCGAATTCGCGGAAGTCCGATTTGGGGCAATTTTGGGGCAACTTTCCGGTAATTGAGTTGCTCATCACCCCTTGTAGGAAAACTAGGAATCCTACCTGCCGCCCCGCTCCACTTTTTCTCTCTCTCAGTGTATCTGTGTATCTTACGAACATACCCGTTTTTGATGAAATGGACGCTTCGCCGTCGCCTAGAGCTAGACTCGCTTGCAATTACTACGTGCCGCCCCGTTGCTGTATGTAGCCTGGCGTTTGTGCCCCGTCCGTTCATTCATGGACCGACGCTCCCGCTTGAGCCAAGTCTCCTCGCGCGTCAAGTCAGTCACCGGCGCACCGCACTTGATCTGCATGATCGTGTTGGCGCGAATCTGGTCGGGATGGTCATGCCGGCGCGCCTTATTGGCGGCCGGAAGAAGGCGCTGCTCCTCCAGCTACAACTGTACGTAGGTCGGGAAAGAACGAAACGCTGGTTTGAGGCGCTTTTCGCGCGGTGTCGTCGCGACGCTCGTGCTCTGCCGGCCTGACGGGCCTGACGCGCCGCTTCGCCCGCGTCCCGTGCGTTCGTGTGCGTTTGCGTACGTTGCGTCCGTCTGTCGGGGGGCCGTGGGTTGTGCAGAGGGGGGGCCCGACCTCCACCCGTGCCCGGGCTACTGTACCGCTTACATCGGCACAGCATGGTGTGCTTGATGGTGTGTTTGCTCATCTGGTCGCGCTCAGCGCCCTCAGCGCCGCTTCCTTACCTCAAGAACGAGGGGTGGCAGAGCTGCCAAAATGCAAGCCAAGCTGCCAGTTCTGTCATAATGCAGACGGGTATTTCTCTCGACGCGTCAAGACTCTGCCAGCCTGGCAATGTGAAGATCGGCAAATTAGTGCACACGAGAAGGATGCCTGAGTTGCATGAGGAGGTTCGCTTTCACGACTTGATCGTGACCAGCGTGATCGGCCGTGCCTTCTTGGCTGGGCGTCAAAGGCTCGTCATGATCGAGCTGGGGTCCTACTGGGCATACTACTCTCTCATTTTTGCGAAACTGGTTGCGGAGGCGAAGCTGCATGCTGTCAGCATCATGGTCGAGCCCAGTCCTCACAAACTTCATTGTGGAATGAGGAATTTCGCAACAAATGGCTTCTGCTCAGAGGATCGCGTGCAAGCAAGATGGCTTAGAGCTATGATATGTGCGCCAGATGCAGAGAAGATGACGGGCTACGGTGGCCTCATGACGGATGAAACGTCACCCGTTTGCACAACAATCCCTAACATACTGCATAGCTTTGATGTTGTCAAAGTCGAGGTCTTGCTGGCTGATATTCAAGGAGCGGAGTTGGAAGCTCTGCGCAGTGCCAACCTTAGTCGAATACATCACGTTTGGGTTGGCACCCATTCCATCAACATTCACCAGCAATGCAAGGAGCTCCTACTTTCATCAGGATTTATGATTGAATATGAGGTTGGGCTCATACGTTCAGATGGGTATATCCACGCCTTCAATCCAAGCTTTTGAGCACGCGGGACACTGGGGATTCGACTCCTCCCGTCCGGCCACCACTCGTGGCCCCAGCCCTTCCGCAGAAGGGCCGACTACACCCTGTCGCACGGGCCCGCCGAGGCTCGGGGTGGTAAGACTGGAGAAAGGCCACCCCAGCATTCCCCACCAAGGTGCGGGGGCAGCGGCGTCGGGGCGGGCGGGAACGGCGGCGGCGACGTGGGCGGGCTCGGTGCCTTGCCGGGCGGATAGGGCGGCGGCAGAGGCGGCGGCGTGGGGGCGAGGCCGGGCGGGAAGGGCGGCGACGGCGGCGGCGTGGGCGCCTTGCCGGGCGGGGTGGGTGGCGGCGACGGCGGCGGGGTCGGGGCCTTGCCCGGCGGGAAGGGCGGCGGCGAGGGCGGCGGGCGGGGAGCCTTGCCTGGCGGGAAGGGCGACGGCGAGGGCGGAGGCAGCTCCTAACTACTCTGCCCGCACTCGCTCCTGGGTGCGTAGGGCGGATGCCGATGTCGAGATGCCGCGCGCCTGTACGCGTATGGCGCGCACGGTCCACGGAGTGTGCGAAAGTACGGTTCTTTCCATGCGCCACGGTTCGCATTTGTCCTAATTGAAAGCCGTGACGAATCACGAGCTTACACAAATGCTAGCGCTACGCGACGCTCGTGGGAGAGACGCGCAACTCAAGTCTCATCTCTCAACGTCCGGCGGGGTGGAGTGTGGAGGTGTTTTGTGCGAGATCAGGCCCGAGGAGTCCCTAGTGTCGCCGGAGCGGGTAGCTCCCTTTTTCGTAAAACAGGAACAATTTTTTTGAGGAGGTCGGTGGGTGCGCCTTCTTTTTAATTTTAGAGAATTCTTTTTGAGAGATTTTTTGGAGCCTACAAGTTCAATCAGAGACCCGCGACCGGAGCTGAGGTGGCAGCCGAGGTAGGTACGCCCTTCTCACAGCCCCGGCGCCCACGCCTCGACCTTCTTGGGCTGCAGCTGGTTCGACAGGTCATCTCCGTGGCCTAGGCATCCATCAACGCCCTCGCCCCAGGTAAGGACAGCGCTGTCGGCGGCGCGAGCGAGGCTGTGGCGGCTTCCCGCCGACACAGCAACGACGCGCTGGCCCGCCAAGGCCTCGACCTTCTTGGGCAGCAGCTGGCGCTGCTCGTCGCCGTGGCCCAGCTTGCCATCCCTCCCATCGCCCCAGCTCCAGAGAGAGCCGTCGGCGGTGATGGCGAGGTTTCGAGCCCCTCCAGCCGAGACAGCGACGACGCGCCGGCCAGCAAAGGCCTCGATCTTCTTGGGCAGCAGCTGGTCCTGCCGGTCGCCGTGGCCCAGCTGGCCAAAGCCTCCACCGCCCCAGCTCCAAACGGCGCCATCGGTGGTGATGGCGAGGTTGTGAGCCCCTCCAGCCGTCACAGCGACGATGCGCCGGCCAGCAAAGGCCTCGACCTTCTTGGGCAGCAGCTGGTCCTGCTGGTCGCCGTGGCCCAACCGGCCACAGTATCCCCAGCCCCAGCTCCAGACGGCGCCATCGGCGGTGATGGCGAGGCTGTGCATGCCTCCAGCCGACACAGCGACGACGCACCGGCCAGCCAAGGCCTCGACCTTCTTCGGCAGCGGCCGGTCCTGCTGGTCGCCGTGGCCCAGCCTGCCAGAGTATCCCCAGCCCCAGCTCCAGACGCTGCCATCAACGGTGATGGCGAGGCTGTGGTACCCTCCAGCCGACACAGCGACGACGCGCTGGCCAGCAAAGGCCTCGACCTTCGCCGGCAGCAGCTGGTTCTGCTCGTCGCCGTGGCCCAGCCGGCCCCCGCCTCCACTGCCCCAGCTCCAGACGGCACCGCCGGCGGTGAGGGCGACGCTGTGGCCATTTCCAGCTGACACGCTCACGGCGCGCTCGTCACCCAGCGTCGACGGGAGGCGGGTCGGCGTGTTGAGCTGCGTCACGCCCTCGCCGTGGCCAAGCAGCCCGGGGATTGGATTGTAGTCCGGCGAAGAGCCGCACGACGACAGCCGCCCCTCGCCGTCGATGAAAAGGCTGTGCGATATGCCTGCTGCCGCCCTCGCCGGCGGGTTGGACTCGCGCAGCAGCGCCGAATAGCACAGCCACCGCACGGCGCAGGTCTCGCCCTCTGGCTGCGCCGGCAGCTCGTAGTCGCGCTCTTGCGCCCACAAGCGGATGCCCTCCAGCGCAAGCGAGGCGTGGAAGAGCAGCGAGACGGCCGCGGCGCGAGCGATGTCGACGGGGCTGTCGCAGCGAGAGAGGGCGCGCTCGATGAGCTCCCTGGGGAGGTCGAGCAAGCGGGCGGGCGGCGGCGCGTCTGGCGAGGGCGCGGCGGTGGGGGCGGCGGCGAGGCGGCGCGAGTGGCGGCGCGGCGGGGTGGACATCGCGAAGAAAAGAATTGTTACTTACAACGACGCGGGGCGGCGGCGGGTGGTATAATTACTTATTAATTAATTAATAATGAATTAATAATCACCGGGCGGCGGCGCGGCGCGGCGGCGGGCGGGGCGGCGCGGAGGCGGTGGGGTAATTAATTATTTGTTAATTTATTATTACTTAATGACCTCGAGTGCTGTATTCCACGTCCTAACCTAATTAGTTAATTCATTAATTAATTACGTATTGTATTCCGCGTCGGGTATTCGCAAGTATTCCAGGAAGGCAGGGCGCGAGGCGGAGCTGTCTCGACGCAGTGTACCACCACCCACGCTGTAGAAGGACAGAGAATAGTTCCCTTCCCCCCTCGGAGGGGGCCGGGCGAGGCGCACCCCGAGGGCCCCCCTCTTTCCCCTTCACCCCTCGGAGGGGGCCGGGCGAGGCGTAACCCGAGGGCCCTCTTCCCTGACCCCGACCGCCTGCCTGCCTGCCCTGCCCGCCTACGGGGACCGGGGGTCAACCGGGAGGCAGGGGGTTCGACCTGGCGACGGAGGACCGTGGGCCATCGCGGGGACCGTTCGCCCGGAGGGCGTACTGGGCTGATCCGGATGGTCTTCACGCCGGTGGGAGGCACCGAGGCGTCTTGGACGCTCAGCTCTACCTTAAGCTCCTGAGGGGCGCGTGGTTTTAACCACGTAGTAGGACTACAACCCACCACAGACACCCTCCCCACTCCTCACGTGTACACACTCCCTCACCCTCTCCTCTCTCCTCTCTCTCTCTCTCCTCTCTCTCTCTCCTCTCCTTGTCTGTGCTGTCTGCCTGACTCAGGCACTAACTCTGCCGATGCGTGATTGTGTGTGGGCTGCTCCGAGGGGGCCCTCTGTGCGATCCGACGGGTAGGGGGGCTGTGCCCGGGCGGTGTCCGGTGTGGAGTCCCCTTCTGATCCCGCCTGGGATGTTGGGTGTGAGGTTGTGGCGGCTTCGATCCCAAGGGGGGGAGCTGATCCCACTCAATAACCAACTCTCAGGGGCAGTAGGTGGGCGAGCTTCAGGCACGCTCATCTCGATCGTCAAGACGTTGCTACGCGCGGTCTTCCGCGGGGGGAGCTGCGTCGACGGGTGCGGGACCGCGGCGCAGCCAGTGCCGCGGCGAGGCCTCCGGCTGTTTGCGGCGGGCGGCTTGCTGCTCGCTGCGATGGCGAAAAACTCGTCTCGCCACACGCCAAGGGCTTATGCTCTGGCGAGACGTGAGGCGCATGCGCCCTTGGGTAGCGAGGACTGGTGTGACGCGAGATCCAGACCACGCAGGCGTGTTTTCCGACGGCCGACCGTCAGTGCACGGAGTTGCCCCTTCCCCGACTGCCCCGGCTAGTTCCCCGCCGAGGTCGTTCGTCGGGTGTGACCGTGTGACCCCTGCCTGCGTCCCCCGAGACCTAGCGCGGGTGGGCTGGGGAGGGGGCTCGCTGCGAGGAAGGGCTGTGTAGGTAGCCGATCCCCGTCGCCCCACTCCTCCCCATCGGGCCGCATAAGCGGCCGCGCCTCGCAGATTCGTTTCTCGCGCCTGGGTCAGGCGCGCGGGGCATCCCCCGGGTCGCTCGACCAGCGATCCGAAGAGTAGCCGCTATGCGAGGGAAAGAGCGGGGCCCTCGACGCCTCAGTCCGGCCCTTCGAGAGGGGGGAAGGGAATTACGGGGTCCCCATGGGCGCCTCAGTTCGGCCCTCCAGGTGCGGCGCTGGAGGAGGCCAACGAAGGCGGCGCTGAGGCGCTGTGCGGAGCCAAGGCGGCGCGTGAGCGAAGCGAGACGGCGCTCGAGGAGGCGGCGGGGCCGCTGCAGACGCGAGGGGTGCTGCTGCGCAGCGCGGCGAGCGGCCGCTTCGAGGGCCAGGGCGCCCGCTGCCAGGATGGCGGCGGAGGCAGCACAACGATGAAACTGTTAATTTGCCGTCCACGGACAAAGCGGCTCCCCCCCCACCAAAGTTTTGAGTGTTTGTTTCAGGTGCATCTCGTTTCGCTAGGCCGGGGGGGGCAGAGCTCAGAGCACAGAGGAGACAGAGTTTGATCCGTGCCCGCGCCGCGCGCGCTCCCCCGCCGCAACCCCCCCCCTCCCCCGCCCGCGCTCCCCCCGCAGCCCCCGCACCGCCACGCCGCCTGTGTTCGCTTCGGTGTTCGGAGGCGAGGGCGGCTCTGGTCGTTATCTGAGACGTCAGAACCGCATAAAAAAGCTAGCAACAAACCCCTGCAGACGCATGTGAGACATGTGCGCCGAACTCCCCCCGTCGTGCTGCACTCTGCGGTGATCTTGGCGTGTTGCTCCGGCGCGCGCCCGTCGAGCAAGTCTAGTCCCTGCTCGTCGCGAGGGAGTGCATGCAATCGCGCACGATCCTATCAGCGAGCAACCGTGCCTCGTCCAACGGCTCCTCCCGTGGAGCGGCTCAAGCCGCGGACGAGACCTGAGGTTCTCGAGCCCCGCCGCCTCGAGCGCCGGCCGCACGCGGCGTGCAAACGGACCCTTCCACTCGTTTTTCTTCCAGTCGTCGATCGGGAGCCAGCCGAGCGGCGAGCCGCCGCCGCCGCCGCCGCCCGCCGCGTTGAGGACGAGCACGCGCGAGGCGGGTGGGGTCGCCTGTTCACAGCGGGCGTGCTGTGAAGAGACGCGGCAGGCAACTCGGGCCGTCGGGGGGGCGAAGGCGTGTGTCTTCTCGCCCCGTCCGACATGGTGATGAGCGCCCCGGCGGCCGACTCGGGCGCCACGCGGAGCGAGGCGGCGGCGATGTGGGACACCTGTTCATTGACGGCCTACTCACTGATGAATCCTCCCTTCACGGCCGTGAATACGGCGGCGGATGTGCGGCACGTCCGCGGGCGGGATGGAGGGGGCGACGGCGCGGTAGTCGATCTCGTACAAAAAGTCGACCCCGCTGCACCACGGCTCCTTGAAGTGCGGCATGGGGAGCCAGACGCGCTGCTTGTCCGGCCCGCACCCGACCTCGATCGCCCTCAGGTGACGCGGCTCGATAGCTCGCTCCGCCCAGCGCGCATCCTTTGGCAGCGGCGGCATGACGACGCGCCGGCCGAGAAGCAGGCCGAGCAGCAGCAGCCGCGCTGCAAACGCGTCGAAGTCGGACATTGAGGCGAGGCCCGCCCGCAGCATGTCTGGCCCGGCCTACAAGAGGCATGGCGAGATCTGGGGAGATCTGGGGAGGGAGGCCCGGCCGCAGCAGGTCTTGGCTTCGCCACGAGCAGTCGCTCTGTCCGCGGCGACACCCACGTCTCGGGCGCCACCTTAGGGGGGGGGGGGGGGAGGGGGAGATCGGGTGAGGTGTGGGGAGGTGTGGGGGAAGTGTGGGGAGGTGTGGGGAGGTGTGGGGAGGTGTGGGGAGGTGTGGGGAGGTGTGGGGGAGGTTTGGGGAGGTGTGGGCGAGGTTTGGGGAGGTGCTGGCGACGTGTTGGGAGGTTTTGGG